TAACCTTCCTCTGATAATTTGTGTCTAAATTATCGGAGACTTCCTTGGCTGAGTAGTCAGCCCCAAGTGTATTTATAGAAACGTTAATAGGTTGGCAGTTTCCAGAACTTACATTCGATTAGGAATGAGCTTGTTTGGGGAAGGTGAGTTGTTTTACAAGGAGGCTCTGATTGGATTCTTCTCTTATTGAATTGTCTCTAAATTCAGCTCCTAATTGGACCACAAGTCCCTTCCCAGAGATCAGAGCCATGTCGACATCTACGTAAAACTCCTCTGCCTCTCCAGTACGATATTGCACTACTTTCTGTAGCATTGAGTAGTTGCCCAAGCAGCCCACACAATCATTTGAAGATTAGCCCATATACACAGCAGCAAGTTCCAGGAACCCCATCCTTCTTGGTAATACCAATGAAATGTGCATACCCTAAGAATGGGGCAGAGAAGCAAGGGGAAGTAGAGAAGAGGAAGAAAAGGAATGATCCTTCATTTGTCACCCTAACTCCTCAGTCACAAGCTTGCATCAAAACATCATATAGTGCTTATGCAGGCCCCAGTTTGCTTGTGTATTTGTTTGATTGGTTGAGACGGGGGTCTTACGTAGCTCAGGCTGACTTTGAACTGCCTATGTAGCAGAGCACAAACTTGAACTTTTGAGCCTTGCCTCTACATCCTGAGTGCTGGGATCAGGCATTTCACAGCACTTTTGAATTTTTATTTTAATGCAGTGCCCAGGGCTTTGTGCATGCTAGGCAAGTATGAACTGGGTTATATTCCCATTCACCTGGTTTATTTATTAAATCTTTGGCAGTATCTTGAATGCCTCTCTAATGTCAAGAAGGTGGAACCACAAGGGGATAGTTATCCTAAACCTTCATTGGAAAGCAAATGCCTAGAGCAATCAACACAGTTTACAGGTACTGAGTTAAATCAATAGATCTGTATGCTGTACGGCAGAGGAAGCAGCCAAGCTTAGAGGCATTGCAATATTAAGACAACCTGAGGGGAAAGGCTCCCAGAACAAATAATAGAGTGACAGTAGGACCTAGAAGGACACTTCCTCTGTCACATAGGACTGAGACACCCCTTTCATTTACTAGTGGGCTCCCCGCAGTAACTCACTGTAGACAGGGTCAGACTCTCTTACCGATTAGACACAAGAGAGGAGAGGAATCTGGAGCCTTGCTTTTAGAAAGATCAGAAAGCTGCGCACGATAACAGAGGTCTGTATTCCCAGCTCTCAGGAGGCTGAGGCAGGATTACTACAGATTTGAGGCCAGCCTGGGCTATATAGCAAAAGAAATTTTGAAAATTTAGTTTGTCTTTCCATTCCTAAAGACAGCTTTTCAGCTCACCCAATTTTTAGAAACAAATTTACCAGCCCCTTATCTACTTTTTAAAGATGCTGTCTCTTGGGGGGGGGGGGGGGTGGTAAATCCTAAATAAGACCAGAACTGTGTATTTAATGTGTGTGTGTGCTCTTACAAACCTGATTCTGTGCATATAGATATGTTCATTTGCATATGTGAACTGTGAATTGTCTTTATTCTTCATGCTTTTTAGTACTTATAGTTTTATGGTGATTGGTCTAAGGCTTTAAAGCATCAAGGCTCTAATCTGCTCAGTTTGTTTACAGTAGCAATTTGCTTGAAGCCTTTGGGGTCATGTGATGAAGGGCCACTTTATTAGCTATAACCCTTAAAGTGACAGGCAGCTCATGGCAGCTTGATTGCAGCTGGAATTAAGAGCAAATCGCTATGCCTTCCCTCAACACAGGCTTTATCTGGGTAGTGAAAAAGAACAAATTGGACCCCTTAAGCTCATTAGAGAAGGGCTTCGCCTTGTAGGAACCCCAGAGCTCCTCATGGTGGCCTCATGGATTTGGCCACCATCCAGCAGACTTAGAGACTTAAAGCTCACACAACTGACCGATCCTTAAACATAAATCATCAAAACAAGCACTGAAGGCAGTGACAGGTCTGATGACATCGCGGCGAGCAAGGAACCTGCTTTCCTGAGGTTTACAACGGCAACGTCCTTCTGAGTGAAGAAGCATCTGCTCTCCCATGATGTCACTCTCCAGACACTGTGCTGGAACAGGGGTCCAGCAGTAGCTGGAGTTGTGAAACTTTGGGTGAGCTAGTTGGAGAACCAGCACCATGCCTCAGGTCAAACTCCTTACCTTCCAGTGCTTCATCCTACCCAGACACACTACACTGACTTCCCCTGGTAAGAGACTCCTTAAAACCCTGTTGGCCTGTGATGCCTTTCAGCTCCTACCTGGTAACTGACAGGACACTAAATTCATCTTTACTTTTTTCAAAGGGAGGTAGGCCAGGCTGCCCTCAAGCTGGCTGTGTAGTGGAGAATGACCTTGAAATGTACTTGCGGTCGACTGTCTCAGCTGGGATTACAAGCTCCTACCTGATTTACATAGCTTCCTGCTTGCTAGGCAAGTGTCAGCCAGCCCAGCTCCAGCTATGGGGTTCTGGGAATTTATGTTTTAAGAGTTTGTGAAGAATTTGTGACAGAACACCGCACAGTAACAAGGAGAGAGCTGGGGCCTAACACCAAAAGACATCACTCCATTGAGCTGGAGCTCCACTCTGTCACTTTAGGGCTGAAGGCTTGGCAAACATTGCTTAATATAGCCCATTATTCTGTTTAATCTATCACTGATAAAGTTATGTGTCTGTTAAATGAGGAAAATAAGCAAGCAAGCAAAAGAGAGAAAGAAAAAGAAAAAAGAAGAAAGAAAAGAAAGAAAAAGAAGGAAAGAAAGAAGAAAAAGAAAGGAAGGAAGGAAGGAAGGAAGAAAAGAAAGAAAGAAAGAAAGAAAGAAAGAAAGAAAGAAAGAAAGAAAGAAAGAAAGAAAGAAAGAAAGAAAGCAGCCATAGAAATACAAGAGGATTAAACCATAACCTGGAGGTCAAACCTAATTCTAGGTTCCAGGGTGAAGAAGAAAATATTTCTCACCCAAATCCTGATCCCATTAAGTTAGAAATCCTTTTCAAGTAACCTTGAGAAGAGAACTGGTTACAATCAACAACAACAATCAAAAGCGCTCAGGCCTCTGCTGCTTCAGGCCACCTTTAGAGTCCAGAAAAGGGGAACTGCAGCGGGGAGGAAGTGGAGGAGAAGAGTAGCTGTTCTTAATGTAAATGCCAGGAAAATACTAAGGGTGGAAGAGCGAACTTAAAAACAAAAAAACAACAAAGAAGGATTTATGTGTCTATGATGGCTGGCATGTACGTATATGCAGCATATGTATGTCCGACTCTCAGGGAAGCCAATGCTACCAGATCCCCTGGAACGGGAGTTACAAGTGGCTGCGAGCTTTCCAATGGGTTGCTGGGATCTGAACTGGGGTTCTCCCCAGAGCATTAAGCACTTTAAACTGAAGAGACACCTCTCCAGCACGAGGGCAACTGTGCCAGACTAACAGGTGGCAAGCTGGGACCATGCTCAGCAAACCACCAGGTTTATATCTACTTTATAAAAGAAAACTGTCACTTTAAGAACTGTTACAACAGGCCTCAGCGAACTCCAAAGCGGTAATATGCACCACCTTTAAACTGCTATTGCTCACAACAGCAACAGTGCTCTTTATAGTATTAGCAGGGTGCAGTGATATACCTGGGAGGCAGAGACTGGCAGATCTCTGAGACTAGGCTGGGCTACGTAGAGAACTCCACAGTTGAGACCCTTCCTCACAAACCACCACATAAAGCAAAAATAGTGGAGCCAGTACTTTACCAGATAAGCAGTTTTTACTATCTGGGCATAAACACAGCAGTATGGCGAAGGAGGAAGTGCCTCTTTGAGCCTAGTGAAAAGGGTGCCTAAATAGCCAACAGGACAAAAAGCAGTGTGAGGACTTAGCCAGGCATGGTGGCACAATGTGGAATCAGGATCAAGACTTTTAAGACCAGCCTGGGTTAATGAGTTCCAAACTGGAACCTCCAGGGAGTTGAGCACAGATGTGCAAACGAGGTTTGGAACCCAGGTTCAGTGGTAGGCATCAGCTGTTCTCAAGCCTGGGAATGCAGGATTTTCAAATTAGGCTGGGCAACTTGAGGAGACCCCACCTCCTAACAATAACAAAACAAGAGAACCTAGTTCTCGGCCAACTAAAACCTAGGACAAGCTACAACCTGGGCACACCAGCCTTCAGTAGCTTCAACAGGGAAGCAAGTACTGTGACTCTCTGCAGCTGAACTCAGGAATGGGGGCCGTAAGACAGTGTACCATGCTGTATTAAATAATCTGATAAGACAGGACTGTCAGTGTCAGATAAACCAAACCCTGGTGCCGGAAGTCAAGCAGAGGTTCCAACTTGCCGGCAAATTTTAGCAACTTAGTCACCCTGAGGACAGCTGTGAAAGTGGCCAGGCCCAACACAAAACCATAATTTTGCCTTTTAGATTTTTTTGTGTAACTTGATAACACAATTCTTGAGCATGAATTCTGCAGACAGCACTGCTTTAAAATACAGGACTAAACATGGAACTAGGAATTGCCAAGACTAAAAGTGCAAAACCTAATCAGGAGCAGAACTATGAAGCTAAAGGCCACCCTGGTCTGCATAGTGAGCTCCAGACCAGATGGACAACCCTGTCTCAAAAAATAAAACTCACACCTCATCCCAATTTATAGGTACAAGAAAGAGCTAGTCAACATGACTTCATTAAAAACTAAAAAGCACTTTTTTTTTCTATAAACAAGACAGAATCACTCCTCCTTTCATTTGATAGGAAATGAAAAAAACGAACTAGCATGTGGTTGTAGGTTTTGTTTTAAGCCACAAAGAAACAAGTCAGAGGAAATCTTACGTTAGGTTGATTTATAAGTGCTGCTCTGGCAGTTACAGTCTGTTTACAATGAGGAGTTATCTAACCAAACACACCATATGTGGCAATTAGAGGTCATCATGGCAAGAGAAAACCACAGCTGGCTTGCTGCCGCTAACACAACCAACCAGAAAACAGCAGGGCAAGCAGGGATGGAGGTGGAGCACGTTTATTAGAAAAGAGCAAAACTCCATAGGATTTCTAAGGAAGAAAGGAATATTATTCTTCTGGGAGAGAAGGCACTAGGACACAGAATGACAAGTGATTTCACTGCAGGCCTGTCCTCAGTTCCTCCAAGAGCGAGGCGGAAGGAGACATTGAAACAAACAGGTGATTGTGCAAAGTTAGAAACCCTACAGATCTGATTAAAATCTAAGCTTGGTTTGCTTTTTAAAAATGTAATATATCAAAAGTGACCTGCTTTAGTGACATGCTAGTCCCACCAAAAAAATTATAACCCCAGTAACACCTCCCCCCACCCCCCGTCAGTAACAGTGTTCAAGTTGACCAGCCAACTCATAGTTCTAACTCGTGTGGATAAGTACTCGTCTTCTAAAGCTAGGCATAGGGCCGGGTGGTGGCAAGCTGTGCTGTCCCACCCGCTGCCTGCCCAGCACCTGCTCCTGCAGAGTGGGCAGGGAAACCCTAAGAAGCTGAGCCCCAGATAACCAACATTCCTGGTGCTGTATCCCCATGCCCTCATCCAATCAAGAGAGCCTAGCCAAGCTCCTCAAACCTGGCACCCAGCGACTAGGATGGTTTTCTCAATTAGAAAAAAAACATATACCCATAATCCATATATATAACTTTTTTGTTTTTACATTTAAATATAAAAATACTATTCTGCTTTGTGTTATCAATGGAGGACCATGAAACAAACTTTTTCTTCCTTCACGGTAGGGCCATCTGTCAAGTGATACACGGAGCTGTGTTCATGGAGGGCATCAACACCCCTCCCCCGAAGCACAGACGAATGGTACAAGGGACCAACCCCCAACACCTCACCTAACTCTACATTTGGAATAGAAAGTTGGTTTCACCTGGATAACAGCTAACAGGGAACCTGTCAATCTAAGCCATTGGGCCTGCCCTTTCAACTATCCTGAAGTAAAAAGGTCCTTCCCCACCACAAGCACACCCGCTTTGTGACAGCTATGCCTACTGGACATGCATTCCTGATGAGATGAAGCAGTGTTAACCTTTCCCTACCCTCCTCCCCTAGAAAGCTAAAAAAAAAAAAAAAAAAAAGTGGGGCTGGGTGTGTAGAGATTCAGACCTTGACCCCTCTGTTCTGACCATAAAAGCAAGATTAACTGGGCACGAGGAATAAAAAGACCTTGATATTCTATCCTTTTGTGTTACAATGGGGAACAACTGGGAGAGGAAAGAGTTGGAGTGGGATGAACTAAGAAGGGCTCAAGATCACTGGAAGTCTTGTCCACTTAATTTTTGTATTGGAAGGGCTCGTCGCCAGTCTCGTTAAGAAGACATGTGCGGATGAGGGCTTCTGTCACCGCATAGGGGTCACAATTGGCAGAAGGGCGGCGGTCTTCAAAATAACCCTTCTTCTCCTGGCCGACAGTCCGGGGGATTCGGATGCTGGCACTTCGGTTGGCAACGCCAGCAGAAAAGTCGTTGATGTTGGAGGTTTCATGGAATCCAGTCAGACGTCGGGCATTGTCCAGGCCCCCCTTGGGATCGTAGGCGCGAATGTGGTACTGGTGCCGCTTGCTCAGTTTCTCAATGGCTTCCTCGATGAACCTAGTAGAAACAGTAGACATGAGTGTCTGACCTTGTCACCAGAAACTGGTCCTTCAAGGGCAGGAGGGAGCAGGCAGGAACCCCAAAAGGCTGTGTCTGCCTTGTGACGCATGTCTCAAGGGCCTCCCTCAGGCTGGTCCTCAACGTGCATTACAAACTGTCTGTTGGAAAGACACCCCCCGACACACACTCACTCTTCCCAGCAGTAAGGATTAAGTACCCACATGCTTGAATTTTTACTTAGTTCTTCTTACTAAAGACCTTTGAAAGCCTTAACACATCTGTTATCCCTCTCCTAGAGAATTACTCTACTCTCTAGAGTGTCACCTCTCCAATGGGTACGAGATGACAGGCTTACGATGACCACGAATAGCATGGCATGCATGGTGTGAGAAGCCCCTCCACTCCATGAGAGCAAAGATGTCTCCGGAAGACAGTACTCACTTCAGACCATTCTCCTCCCGCATGGCCTTGGTGCTAAAGTTGGTATGGCAGCCTGCACCATTCCAGTTTCCAGGAATGGGCTTGGGGTCAAAGGTTGCTATCACCCCGAAGTCTTCACACACGCGGTGCAGGATGAAGCGGGCCACCCAGAGATGATCTCCCATGCGCACTCCTTCACAGGGTCCTATTTGAAATTCCCACTAGAGAGAGAAGGCTCACCTTTAAAATAAGGCCAAAGCAGCTGCTCACCCCAACTAAAGCTCCTAGCTTGCTCTGCTCACCCCCACTGTGATCCAGACTCAAGTCACCACCCTTGCTAGCCAAAGTCCCCATGGGCCTACCCTACCCTGAAGTCTTCAGAGTGAAGGAAAGACAGTTTAGCCCCGTTTACCTGGGCAGGCATGACCTCAGCATTTGTCCCTGCGATCTTGACTCCCGCATACAAGCAGGCCCGGTAGTGAGCCTCCACGATGTCCCTGCCATAGGCTTTGTCTGCTCCCACACCACAGTAGTATGGACCTGAGGGAGAATCAAGACAGAGCAGTCTAGTCAGGGAATCCAGAAAACTAGAAGGTCCTAATACCAGCTTTCCCACTAGTCTCTAGTGCCACTTTCACCTGTCGGTGGGAGAATCTGGGTCATTTCTTCTTTGCCATAGCCTCAGTAGAGCCACCGCTTACTCTGAACTGCTTTTGATTTACAGTCAGAGGGCAACTTGAGAGAGAAATTTCTTGCCTTTACCATAGAGGTCCCAGAGATAAGATTCAAGTAGTCATGCCTAGTGGACGAGCACTGAGGCATTTCACCACCCTGTCACTTTAAACTCTAACCACCCCTGGATTTGAAAGATGCACACAAGGAGATTATCTGCTGCCAGTCTCTATTTCCTGATTCAGGAGTTGCTCCTACCTCTGCAAAAGGGGGTTTCCTGAATAGTTAAGTACGTAGGAAGGAAGCTTTTACCCAGGGGAACTTACCTTGGGGCCCAGGGAAGCCATTAGAAGGCCAACCGAAAGGGTGCCCATCTGTTCCCATGAGTGTGTACTCCTGTTCCATTCCAAACCACGGGCGCTGGTTGCTCACCATTTCCATTATCCGTTTACAGGAGTGCCTTAAGTTGGTCTCTAGAAATAAAGAATCATCATGCCATCAGGAGGGAGAGTCCTCATAAGGCTCACACAGCTGAAGTCACCACAGCCTGAACTGATCCGGGCCCAAACACTGTGTTCTATCACCAAGGAAAATGGAAGAAGTGAGGATAATTGTATGTTTGCAGGAAAAGGCTGGTAGACTTTTTATAATTAAAGTCAGCTTTGCAATCTCAAGGGAAGGGAGTCAGAGCAGAACTCATATTCACCCTATCTGCAAGCTGGCCACCTTCCAAGCACAAGCCAGGCACTTACACCCTCTATTCACAAGCCAGCTGCTTCTGGTTGTCAAAAGTATCCCCTAGTTTCTCAGGCACTTAAAAGCCAGATCTGTCATTTTATTGAGAATAATTTGTCCATTAGGTTTACATTCCAGGTAAGTTTAGGTGTTAAGTTATACAGTATTGTACAGTATTGGCTGGTTAAAAAAAAGAATAGATGAGAATAACTGGAAACAATGCCCAAGCTAGAAAAAAGTAACCCTCTAACGGAGCCTGTGGTATTAACAACCTTCATTTCACAAATGGAGAACATGAAGCCCAGAGAGAGGACGTTAGGTGACACGCCCAGGTTACAGGGCAAGCAGCCGAGGCAGGAGCCTGCACGCCCTTTATCAACAATACCGCCTTTTAAAACAGAGGCACCCAAGGTACAGGGCCACCACGCCTTGCTGGCAGTGCCGGAGGGATTTCACAGAAGTAAGACCTCCCCAGGTTTAAAAAGCTACCTGAAAACTGAGCAGATAGCACAGCACAACCAAAAATCCACATGTGTAGCTAAGGGAAGCCTCAGGGCAAATGGCTTATCCAGGAATCTCATGCTCATACTTGTGAGTACACTGGCTCAACAACTGTCTTCAACAACTGTCTGGGGTAAACCAGCACAACCAACAGTTGATGTACACTACTCCCAAATGATCTGCATAGTCATTCATTTCATCTTCCAAAGGATTTTGACCACCGAGATGGCTCATGGGTAAAGGTGTTGCCACACAAGCCTGGCAACCTGAGTTCCATCGTCAGAACCCACATAAATAGGAGAGAATGAACTCCACAAAGTTGTCCTTTGACTTCCCCACACCCAGCATGGCATGTCCTCCCCCAGGCATGTTCTCCTTCTCTCTCTCTCTCCATGCACAGCACATATAATTCAGCCAAAAAGTAGATAGATAGACAGATAGACAGACAGAAGCATAGGGAAAAGTATGCCAAGAGCACTGGCAATAAGTGGCAGATTTGGTATTTAAACTCAAAAAACTCAACAACTCATCTGTAGAATATACGTCTTAAATCTACCAGCAGGTAAAGGCCATCACTGGGGACTATCAGCAAACAGAAGATTCAACATCTTTTGTACAACCAAAAAAAGGGACCATGAAAGGATGGACCACACTGTTTTCAGCAGGAAAGTTCAGGGTAGAAGGACGGCTATCCTGTCATCCCTAGATTCTTAAGGACAGCCTTCTCAATTCATTTCAGAATGTCATCTCACTTTTCAGGAACCACAGACTGGGGTAGGACATCCACACCTTTCCCATACACACCTGCAGGCTTCCGGTTGTACTTGAAAACTTCACAGAACACCAGCTTGTTGGGTTCTTTGCGGAAGGGGTCCCGAAACATGGCAACAGGGGTGAGATACATGTCGCTGTTGGAACCTTCAGACTGAAATGTACTAGAGCCATCAAAATTCCACTCAGGTAACTCTGGGCCAAATAAGGATGGAAAATTAAATTAATTTTTTAGAAAAATGTATTCTTTTCACCTGCATAGTTGTTTCACTTGCATGTACGTGCAGGCATGTGCCTGGAGCCTGCAGAAGCCAGAAGAGGGGGTCGGATCCCCTGGAATTAGAGTTGCAGATGCTTGTGAGCCACCTTGCGGGTGCTGGTAACTGAACTCAGATCTTCTGCAAGAGCAACAAGTGCTTTTAACCACATGATAGCTCACAACTGTCTGTAACTTCAGTTCCTGGGGTTCTTACTCTTTTGACTTCTGCGGGCACTGCACACACATGGTGAACACACACACACACACACACACACACACACACACACACACACAGGCAGGCAAGACCCTCGTCCACATAAAACTAGAACACCTTTTAAGTGTGCATGTCCAGAAGACAACTAGCCTCTCACTCATGGTTCCATTGCTCAATCTGTCTTCATCAGCGGTCAAGTACATGTGAGTGAATCATCACTGGGGACAGCCTGATGATGTCCATGCCCACCCCTCCCTCTGCCTTTCCTTTTCAGAGATTTCCAAAAGCAGTGTATGACAGGAATCACCTGAGCTACAGCTGACTTCGCTCTGTATAAGGCTAGTCTATCACTTCTATTGAGTCAGACACTGAGGGCTAGTACATAAAAAAAAACCAAACAACTCCTGCCTTCGCTAGGCCATCTCTTCTCCCTCCTCCCATCCCTCAAGGGCCTGAATGCTGAAGCTCAGGTTGTGCTCTTACAGATGAGGGAAACAGTTGTGCCCCATCCGTTGTTCCTTTTCCTACCGTTTTAGCGGTCAGTTTGCCTCTCCAGTTACCTCTTGAGTTCTCAGAAAAGAACCTACCTACACCCTGCCAAGTAACAAATACACAATAGGTGCTCTGTTATCTGGTCTTTCACTCATTCATTCAGCAGAAATATCTTTACAAGAGTAACCTATCCTAAACCATCCTAAACTAGGTAGAAGGTGATAGCGGCCCTCTTTCCCTGAAGAGGGACAGCTATGGCTTGCTTGTTCTATACTGAAAAACGAAGGCCACAACTAAGATAAATAAAGTGGGTCTTGGAAGTATATATAGTACATCATTTCAAAGTTTTTAAGAGCAGCCTCAACGAAAAACAAATTGCCAGTCCCCGGGAAACTGCTTTGGGACCCATGTTTTGCATCCAGAATCCTACCATATGAGCACTAACACACGGCACTCAAAAGGGTCTACAAAAGTGGTTCTCAGCCTGCGGGTTGTGAGCCCTGGGAGGAGGCTGTCAACAACCCTTTCACAGGGGTCACCTAAGACCACTGGAAAAGAGACATTTACATTATGATCCAAAACAGTAGCAAAATTACAACGATAAAGTAGCAACGATTATAATTTTATGGTTGGGGGGTCACGACAACACGGTAGCACGAGGGAGGCTGAGAACCACTGTTCTATAAACTGGATAGCATATTCTCGTCGCCACAGTTCTTTCAAACTAGGTTCCTGGAGTTGGCCAGGTTAGCGACAACGCCGGCCTTCCACCCCCTACAAATGTGGCCCAATATCTTCCCCCAATGTACCAGCACACACAAGATTCCTTCTAAATAAAGGCCTCCATTGTTGCCGTGCCTCCAGACTATGCCACAGCTTTCTTATGGGTGACTGCCTAAGGTCTGAAAAGCCCTGCTTTTGAAAAGCTTTGCAAACAAAACAGAAGGCGGGCTCTAAGGCCCTACCGCCTACTCCCCCGCCCGCGTCCTGCTCCTGCCCGCGCTCACCTTCCACACTCTTGGGCTCACAGTCCAGGGTTCGGGTCTTGCAGCGCAGTCCTTCTCCGGTGCCGTCAACCCAGATATACATGGCTTGGACTTTCTCCCCCTGAGGCAGGGCCAAGTACGTTTGCTTGATGCCTTTGTTCAACTGGGAACTTGCTGAGGTGGCCATGGTGGAAGATGTTCTAGAGAGACAAAAAGTCACTTCATTAACACCCACCCCAGAGGGGTCCAAGGCAGGAGCGGCGAGAGAGATCAGGCTGGATTGCGTGGTGACCGCTTTCTCCTTTGGAACTCAACCCAAAGGTGCATTATTTGCTCTGCTTCTAAAAGTTTTATATTAGACAAAGATCACCCCCCTGGGGGGGGGAGCTGGTTAAGGGATTTTAATATCCCTTAACTTTGAAAGATAACAGGGGGGAACAAAAAGATAAGAAGTTCATTACTAGAATGTAACTCATTACTGCCACAGAAGGACTTGACTAGTTTACCATTCTGTCTTCTGTTCTTGCTATGGCCTTAATGGACACCCAACCCACCCCTACATCCCTACCTTTAGACCATCATTTACTCACTGGAGACAAGGTCTCACTATGTAGCCCGGGAACTTTCTGTGTAGACCAGAATAGTTTCTGGATTGTGATTCTAGATGCTTCAGCTCACACCACACCACACCTACTCTCTAGGTTTCCTCTCCGTGGGTTACACATCCAGCGTTAATCAACTGTTTGGTGAGCATGGGTTCTGCCTCTGGCCTCGTTTGTTCCTCAAGACCAGCTGGGTGCCAGCTGCCTAGTGTATAAAGTACCAACTGATGCCCCTGAGGGGCAAGTGGTGGGTTCTTAAGTTCTGAATAGTTTCTGCTTGCCTCAGAACCAGGTATCTGCCAGCCTCAGCTTCCTAAATGCTAGGAGGGAAGGAGAGTGCCAACACTATGCCCCAACTCCATATTTAGATTTAAAGATGGAGGTTAGCATATTCCTGGGAGGGGATAAAAAAAAAAAAAAAAAAAAAGCTGTATTATATGCCACAACCAAGGTGGTAAAAAGTAAAGCCAGCCATACTCCAAAGAGTACACTGCTGACTTAGACAAGGAGCCTCTACAAAGCCCTGGCTGTCCTGGAAATCAGAGGATCCACCTGTCTCTGCCCTCTGAGAGCTGGGATTAAAGGTCTTTCCTTCACAGGCCTCAACTGCTGACTTTTCATTAGTGTGAAGAATGAATAATTTCAGTGTGAAAATGACAGTATTTGAGGATTCCACCAGATAATATGAATGCCTTTGATCCCAGCACTTGGGGAGGCAATGGCAGGCGGCTCTCTGTGAGGTCAGGCTGGTCTACCAATCCAGTCCAGGACAGCCAAGGCTACACAGGGAAACGATGTCTCGAAAAAGAAAAAAAAAAAAAAAAAAAAAAAAAAAAAAAAAAAAAAAATTAAGCTACAAAACCAGCTTCAACGTAAGAGGAAATGTTCCCCCTCCCTAATCACCCAGGCTGGCTGGAAAGGGAACAGATTGTTCTCCAACGACTTGGGCAACTTTCTGAAGTACAGAGGCAAAGTTTCTGCGGGCAACTATCCATGTTTGCCCAAGTGAAAACAACTGCTTCTCCCTCCGAAAGCCTCACCCTTCCCCCGGGGAACAGATGAACCTTCGTTGTCAAGTCCTCTACAGAACCAAAACCTCTGCCCACACCACTCGGTTACCGGGGCCAGGACTGCGATTCTAGATGCTTCAGCTCACACCACACCACACCTATCCTCTAAGCTTCCCTCTCCCGTGGGTTACACGTCCAGCGTTAATCGATTGTTCGGTGAGCGTGGGTTCCTCCTCTGGCCTCAAGACCAGCTGGGTGCCGGCTGCCTAGTGTATACAGTACCAACTGATGCCCCTGAGGTGGGTCCTTAAGTTCTGAATAGTTTCTGCTGTTGCCCGATGCACCGGGGTCCTTCCTCTCTGCCCTTTTACTCACCCTAGCCACAGAGAATCGGAGGGTTTGTTGGGGTTGCCCTCTTTCCCCTTCTGCTTTTTTGGGCTGGTTTCCTGCTTGTCTTCGATCTCGGTATCTCGCTGGTCCAAGCAACGGTACTTTCTTAGGGAGGGCGATGGAGAGGGGGACCCAAAGCATTCGTGGGGGGGACCGCAGCAATAAGCAGGCTGAAAGGATTTGGTCCTAACCCGCGCTTTCTCCCCGCTGTTCACAGAGTAGGCAACGAAGCCGAAGCAATTAGGGATATCTGAGGACAGACAACATCCATCCTCTTCGTCTTCAAAGGTTGGTTTCTTTGAGAATTTGCGGCAGGGGGAGGATCCCCGCTTTCCGCCCCCGGAGGAGTTGGGGCAATCCACCTTGAGAGCGGCCCTTCCCACTTAAATGTCCTGAAAGTCAGCGCCCCGATCCTCGGGCACTCGTGGATCTCAAGGTTTCTCCCAGGGGGCCATGCCCCGGCGAGGGCAGAGGCAGGGTGGAGAGAGTTGGGCGACCGCGGGGAGGCACCACGCGCCGCTGCTGCCTCCGCCCGGCCCAGCCTCTCCACTGCGGAGCCCCCCGACCCGGCCGCTCAGGGGCCCTGGCTCTCCATTGTTCGGTCACACCGTAAAGGCCCGGGACCCCGCGCCGGGAGCCAGCGAGCGGCGCCACCAGCGCTGGAGACCGAGGAGCTCAACCAGACCCCCCGCAGAGCGACGACGGGGCCCCAAACGCGCTGTCCTGGAAGACCCGCGCCCACCTAAGGCGCGAGTGTACTCCCTGCGGGGACCACCCGGTCGCCCGATCCTCGCCCGTAAGCTAACCCAAGAGGGGCGGCGCCTCGGGCCTCCTGCGGAGAACAGATCAAAACAACCCACGACCCCGCCCTTCCTCCAGCCTGGCTCAAGCGGAGCCCGACCATCGCCAAGCAAGAGCCGATCCGGGTCGCACGCTGCAAGCACGCGGGAGGCACGGGCGCAGCAGCATCCCGGGCCGCACGGCTGCAGACTGGGGGCGGGAGGCAGAGGGCGGCCCGGGCGGCCATGCATTCTAGGACCCCTCCCCCCTCGGCGTGCTTACCTGTGCGGTGGCCGGCGGGGGTGAGGGGGTGGGTAGACAGGCCGCGAGAACGAGGCGAAGGAGAGCGGAGAGGAGGCGTGTGGCGCTCACAGACACCGCTCTACTCCCATGCTCGGCTCTGCAGGGTCGCGGGCTGCTCGGCACTTTTTATTGGCAGCTCGTGCCCGCCCCCGGGCGCCCCGATTGGCTGGCCTAGGCCAGGAAACCCGCGCCCATCAGCGGCAGCGCGCCGGGGCTCCGAGGCCATTGGCCGAGGAGCTGGGCACCGCGGGGTGGGGCGAGCCGGAGGGAGAAGAAAGAAAGAGAAAGGGGAGTGGGGGAGGGGAGGCAGCGGAGGCCGAGGGAGGCAGGGGCTGAAGGTGCTGGAAGCCTTTGCTAACGAAGGTTCCTTAGCGACCTCTGGACCCTCTGACCCAGGCTGAGGCTTTCTCAGAGTAGCCCGGGCCTCGGCCCTTGCTGCTTTCACGGTGCAGTGGTTTTCGAGGAGAGCTGCCTGTGAAAATCCAGAACCCCAGAACCGAATTTTACCCTTTGTTTGTTGAGCGAGTCTGTGGGCGGGGTGGGGTGGAGAGCGGCAGGCAGACCCGATCAGGCCTGGAGGACTTTATCTATCCTATCGTCCTGGTTTTTTTTTTTTTGTTTGTTTGTTTGTTTGTTTCAGTGGGCTTGGGGAAGTGGTCAGACTGTGATTTCACGGTTTAAATGTAAGTGCGATGTTTCTATAAAGAGGATTCTGGAGGGTCTAAGTTGTTCCCGCCATAGGCATGCCTCTTAGCCGTTCAACGCTCAAGTTCCTTGGATCTGTAAAATAAGGTAGATGGAAGGACTATCAAACAGACTTGAGGTCAGGGTGCACACTATGTGCTAAAGCAAAGATGTTCTTTCTAGGACCCGTTTGAAACATGGAATTCATCTAACATTTGAAAGAAATGTTAGCCAGCCGGGTGGTGGCCTTTAATTCCAGCACTCTGGAGGCAGAGGCTGGTGGAGCCACAGAGTTTGGGGCTAGTGTGATCCACAGAGCGAGTTCTAGGACAACCAGGATTTCATAGAGAAACCCTGTCTCAAAAAAAAAAAAAAAAACAAACTGAAAAACAAGAAAAATTCCCTGGCTTTATTTTCCAAGTCACTTATTGTTTAAGTCAGGAAAGTGAGAGTGTCTTGCTCCTCTCTTAAGCCTGGCGTGATAGCCGAGATAATGTGTGAATATACTGTAATGAGATGAACTGAAAATGTACCCAGAAGTCACCTGCAAGAATCCACATGGCCCATGTATTGTTCTTAGTCCTGTGTCCTGAGCAGTCTGTTTCTGGTGTGTAAAATCTGATAGTATATGGGCTTTATTATATCTTTCAAGAGCCCTGGTATTTGAGGTAGAGATTTTCTATTTAAGTGCCAGAGATCCATGATCTCTCAGTGCCTCTGGAAGAGGAAGGAACAAAGTTTGTTCTTCTGGTTATGTTTTGCACCACAAATATGAAGAATAAATGTTACCGGTGACCACGCACACACATACCTCGGCTTCTTGGGTCAGCCTCCACCTATTCCCCTTAAGTGTGTCTAACGCTGTGGTCACAGCGCCCATCTCAAACGGGGTTTTTCGTGTGCTTTGGACTGGAAAGGCACCATGCAAATTCCACGTCATATCCAGTGCTTATGTGAAGCAGTTTACGGCGACACGACAGCAGGGCTTCAGGCTGACCCAAGTTCAGATCCAGACCGCATCTCTTGCCACCTAACTGCTGAGCCTCAACAAAGCCTCAGTCTTGGCATTTGTAGCAGGGATAACAGGGGGACCTGGAACATGAAAGGTGTTTAGAAAACACTAATTATCACCTCGTAGGTCAATATAATCTGAAGAGATCGGGTCATTTCTTTCTTTCTTTCTCCGTGATTACCCTGTGTGTGTGTGCCTGTGTGTGCATGTTGAATCCATGTGGAGGTCAGAAGCTGACGTTAGGTGTCTTCCTCTACTTCCCTCTTCTTTTCTTCTCTTTTCTTTCTTTCTTTTCTTTTCTTTTTTTTTTTTTTTTTTTTTTTGAGGCAGGGTTTTTCAGTGTACCTGTAATTTACCAATTTAGCCAGACTGGCTGGCCAGCGAATCCCAGGGATTTCTCTGCCTCCCCAGAGCCTGAATTACAGTTACCTGCCATTGCACCTGACTTTTTACGTGGTTGCTGGGAAAGAAATCAGACCCTCCTGTTTTTGAAGAGAGCACCCACCAACTGAGCCCTATCGCCACCCCTCCACGACCACTCGTAAAATGCAACTTTCTGTCTCTGTGGCATTACTGCTGCAACATTACTTTATTAAAGGAAATAAGGTTTAGACCTAGCAACAGGGTCAGCTGTCTCCCCCCCCCCTTTTTTTCTGTTTTTTTTTTTTTTTTTTTTTTTTTTTTTTTTTTTTAACTCTTTAGCTTAGGCAGTTGTAAAAGGGATCATAAGAAGGGAGAGATGATGTTCTTATTTTAGAAGATAGTGAATTCCAGATACCAACGGAAAAGACGCCAAAGCTTGGAGCCTTCAGCACTCTTCCCCAGTGTCCAAAGTGGGGCAGTGCAGTATAATAGGATATACAATATAATAGGATATAATATAATAGGAAATGCAATATTCAGGAGCAAATGTGTCGTTTTTCTTAGGTTTCTTGCATTTCTGCAATGTGAGTGCCTACTTCCCTTGCTAGAAATATTAACCTCTTTTGCTGCTTATTCATTTTCATATCCCCCAACAGTGTCCAGACTAAGTGTTCAATAAACATTTATTGACACAGAAATGTCAGCGGCAGCATCAAGAGAACATTTGCTCTGTTTCCAAGAATAGAAGTGGATTCACTTTGATCCTTTCATATGACCAGGGACATCTCACATGACCACTGAGTTTCAGGGGTAAACAAGAGGCTTTGCCCCCTTGGTCATCCCCACATATGTTTAAACCAACCAAAGTAGGGCCCAGACAAGTTCAAAGACTGGACTTTGGGGAACTTCGAGTGTACCATGGGAAAAAAAAAAAAAGCAGAGGAGAGTCCCTTAACCTGTTTGCCCTCAGAAAAGCGACCTGTGCTTGTGCTTTTAGAGAAGTTAAAAGAACACCCTGTTCCTCCACTTTGACTTTGCTATGTCTCCATCCTTTATTCTTCCCTAAATTGCTACCCCACCACCCCCAAATTTCTGCCCCCCTCCATAAAAGCAGCGAGGTGACTGAACCCATGAACTGTTCAACTGTTCAGTCTAGGCCCACACAGTCTAGGGGGATCTCATGACCAGTGCTTTGAAGTTGAAGTTCTCACTGAATGGGGCTCCTCTGTCCCGAGGGTGGGTGGAGTGGGAGAGCAATACTGCAGGGAAACAGTTTGGACCAACACAGAAACAGCCCCGAACACTTCATCAGCAGTGCTCGGGTGCATAAAACTGGTGGCTTTATCTTGGGTGGGCTTTCCTTAGGAGTCCTCACAGCTTGTTTCTCAGCAGGTCTGAAGCTCACATCTAGTGACATAAGACTGTAGCTTGCCTTTCCCCCATGATGTGGAATTCAGGATATGGCTCTGTTGAAGCTAAACCTTCAACTTTAGCATGCTGCTGGGAAGTGGACAATCTGTGAAAACCTTAAACCAAGCTAAAGAAATACAGTTGGGACTCAGTTGCAGATGCCCTGAAAACCCAGTGCAGGAATGTAACCTGTTTTGTTGTTGTTGTTGTTGTTTTGTTTTATAAGCCCAAATTAGTTCTGGCCAAAAGAATAGAACATAGCAGATATCAAGTCAATCCCAAACAAAAGAATAAAGGGAGAACAGTGGAAGTCAATAGCATTTGTGGACCCAGTAAAGCGTATATTTTGGGGGAAAGTTGTATTAAGTCAGCCTTTCAAATTCCACTCCACACAAGGAAAGGAAAGATGAGCTTATACATGAACTCAGTAACCTAAGACTGAGTGTGAGAGGGAGTTTTCCTTAGCTAGCCTAATTACTTGATACTCTTCAGCTTAGGAGAAGAAACTCAAAGTTGGGATGCTAGCTAGCTTTCACCTGACTTGGAGTTTTGTCAAATGCTCAGTGAAGACATTCACAGAGAGGGAGCATCCCATTTCCCAACCTACACGTTAGGATGGAAGGTTTGGGTCTGTTTGAGCTCTCCCTCAAGTCTCACCTCTTCCTAAACCTCATGTGAAGGGTCTAGGAAGAACCAAGTTCATTCATCACAGCATGGCAAAGTGAGTCCTACTGGGACTATGAAAGCCACAGAATAACTCAGGAGTTGGACTTTCATGTCCTTTTATTGTACGTGGTTCTGGGGTATGAAAGACCAACGATCTCTTGCTGAGCTGTATTCCCAGACCGTTTTTGTTTTTTGTTTTTTAATGATTTTCAGAGATAATTTCTCTGTGTAGCCCTGACTGTCCTAGAACTGTCTCTGTAGACCAGGCTGGCCTCAAACTCAGAGATCTGCCTGCTTCTGCCTCCTGAGTGCTGGGATAAAAGGTGTGTGTGCCGTTACCACCACCCACCACCACACCACCACCGGGCTCAGAGAGAGACTGAATTTTGAGCAAGGTTTTGCTTATAGTGATCTGTTAATTAATTTATTCTGTGTGGAATGAGGGGTCACCCACGCGTGGAAGTCAGAGGACAACTTTCGGGAGTCAGTTTTCTCCTTCCACTATGGATCCCTGCGACGGAAGCTGTCAGTTTTGCATGGTGAATGCCCTTACCCACTGAGCCATCTCACTGGTCCATGCGTGTGGTTTTCATATCCCAGTGTATATACAGCACTATTTTTTGTTTTCTAGATTGGCCGCTAGATGGTCTGGAACCTGACTGAAGCTTACTTAAAAACTTAGGAAAGTTGGCCTGGGGTAGAAAAATTACTCGGATCAAAATGTGTCCTTTCGTTGGTCCTCTTCTCACAGGAACCCTCAGCTGGACCTACTACACAGCCTTTTCCCCCTCACCCCTGACCCCATTAGCTGATTTGGCTCCCTGTTTATTTCATGTTTGTCAAATTTTAACTGGAAACACACAACCCTGTGGTATGTATTTTGGATTCTTGGGCAACATTTAGCCTGCTTCTGGACTTTTTCCCCCTTCCTCTTTCCTCCCCCATTTCTTTTTAAACTGGTTCTTGAAAGGCTTGTCTGCTGGGGCTGGGGAACTGTGGATGGGGCGGATGGTGACATAGTGCCCTCTGGTGGAAGCATGTGAGAATTTCAGACTTCTCCCCAGAAGACTTGAGCGTGAAGGTTTTTTTTTAACTTGTCTCTGTTACAGATTATATATGATAAATTAATAGTGTCCAAGTGACTTGTCTACACTGGTAGACAGTATTTGAGAGATATTATATTTGAATTATTGCCTGGTTGCTAGAAGTTTATTGTAAAACTAGTCTTCAGATACCCAGAAATGAGTGGCCGACTGTGCCTGCTCCTCACCCCACATCAGTGTGCAAGAAAATTGAAGAGAAAAGGACTCTTTGGGAGATCAATTGAGAAGAGTCTAGGAACCAAGAATAAAGGGGAAATGGATTCAACGATGTGATCAAAAACAAGCCTTATCCTCAGCCCTTCCTTGGATCTGAGCCCAGAAACTCCCAAGCCAACAGTTGAGAGTACACCAGACTTTATTCTCAGGTGGTGGGAGCTGGGAAGGAAGCCTAACATAAACACATCCTTTAGGGGTGTCTGGGTATTTATATTATGCCACTTCCTCTGCCAGGATCTCTGGTTGACCCTACCTGTCCTCCCTATGCCCTCCTTCCCTACCGTTCTTATTTAATTTAGGGCATCACGTCTTTCTCCGTTGCCATAACGAGGGACATTATATTTATTATATTATATTACAGTATATAATATTATGTTATCACATTTCTCATTATGTAGCCTGGGTGACGCTATCACAGACACAAGGCTTAAATTGCTGGTTCACCTCTTGCCTCCAGCAAGTGGACCCATAATAGAGACAGTTTTTTAGTTTCCTTAGGGAAGCACTTACAATAGCAGTGATAATGTTGAGGGCTAGATAGTAGTCTGGCTCTGTGGGAGAGTCCCAGCAGGGTTGGCTCTGACCCTCAGTACTAACCAACACAACCAAAGCAACCAACACTGACATCAAAAGACTAAACAATCTGGGACTAGACTCTGGGATTTTACTCTCCCCAAGAACAAAGAAGAGAGTAGGCCAATGACCAAGAAGATGACCTCAGGCTTTAGGATGGTTAGAATTGCCCAGAAAGGGCAGAGCCTCTTACCTGTTGAGCAACCCATTTAGAAGGAAGGGGTGGTGGGGGTTGGCCTTTAGTAAGCAGGCGCTGTCACACAGTTGGAGTACACACAAGGAATTGTGAAACTTGGAAACAGCAAAGTCCTTATCCTTCTGAAACCTACATGTTAGCTGGCAGGGGAAAACTCCCCAAAGGAGATTATTTCAAAAGCAGGACAAAGCCAGATGTGTCAGCTGGCAAATAAGGCAGATTTCCTGCAAGTGCCCCAATGCTAGAACAAATTGCCTCATTTGAGCTCTCGGAGAAAGCTGCCTTGTTGGAGCCTCACTGCCTTGGTGGCAGAAAGAGTTATAGTCTGTGTCTCCAGTAGCAAAAATGAGACTGTGAAAATGGCTTCTTGTGAGATGCAAGGCAGAAAAGTCGCAAAAGCCAAGGATAGTGTGTAATAAGTTCCATGCATAAGGGGGTAGAGCTTGCTTTTGCTATAGCAGACATAGTAAAACCAAGGGTTGGAAGTGTGCCAAACATGGACATTCTATAAAAGCTTGGATAATGCACATTTATGCTGTTATTAACTTATTTTTAATTACTATGTAAGTTTTTAAATAAAGCCAATCATTAAAGATGGGGAGATGATGGTTTGAAAAAGAGAGATGGGCTGGAGAGGTGACTCAGTGGTTAAGAGCACTGAACTGCTCTTCCAGAGAACCCAGTTTCAATTCCCAGCACCCACATGGCAGCTCCCAACTGTAACTCCTATTCCAGGGGATCCGACACCCTCACATAAACATACATGCAGTCAAATGCCAATATACATATAATAAAAATAAGTCAAATGCCAATATACATAAAATAAAAATAAGTTAATTTTAAAAAAAGAGATGAAATATACTTATTTCTAAAATAGGATTTACCCTAGAGGGTCTCACATTCAATATGTAACCAAGTACGAGCTTGAACTCTCAATCCTCCTGCCTCTCTCTAGAAGGCTGAGATTGTAAGTGTGCCCCACCATGCCTGGCTTTTGTCGTACTGGGAACTGAACCCAGGGCTATGCACATGCCAGACAAGCATTCTGTCAACAGAGCTCTAATACCAGCCCAAAAGACTATAATTTCAACCTGTGTCGTACCCACCTTTAATCCCAGCACTCAAGAAGCAGAGGCAGGCAGTTCTCTGAGTTTGAGGCCAGACTGGTCTATGTATATATTGAGTGTCAGGCCAGCCAGGGTAATGTCATGAGATCCTGTCTCAAATATAAAATAAAAGACTCAATCTACTTTATAAAAACGAGAAACTGATTCCAGTTTTGAGCCATGAGAAATCTTTATTCCTTCCAGTGAAGGCAATCAGTGGCCCCTAAGAAACAGCTCTGAGTGCAGAATTCTGGATTTTAGTGGAGACTCCTTCTGCTAAAGTCATTTTGTTGCGTTCTCTTCCCCCTGGCTTGCATGCAGATATTTTCCCCAGTCTTCTTTCCTCCCTCTCCTCAAGTCCTTCAGCATCCCTTCCTTAGGACTTTTCTCCTCAGCATCAACTGAAGGGTCAGAGACAGGAAGTAACAGCAGATGGGAACTAACCTTCACCGAGAAGAAAGGGTACATTACAAGTGCCTAAGAGGGACCAAAGAAGGAAGATGATTGGCATATTGCCCAGGCATTCTAGGCCCGGTCACAGGAAGAGCTCTTTGAAAGGAGAAGAGCCTGCTCGTCTTTGTCCTGCTGCTTTGCCTCTGGCAGCAGCTTGTAGAAGCTTCCTGAAGAGCTCTCGTGATACAGCACTTCCTTGGACCCCATCAGCCTCAAGCTGGGACTGTAACAATGGTGCCAAAAGGAAGAGATGCCATAGATTCCCAACAGGCACAAGGCATTGATCATCACATGCCAGCAGAAGAAGGTGGTGACAAACATGATGTCACTCATGTCATCGTCTTCCCACGGGAAGCCAGAGACCGGTCTAAATAGAATAAAGCCTGCCTGAATCAGCCATGAGCCCATGATCAGGAACAGGAAGGTCTCCATCATCCAGAGGTGAAACATCTCAGGCGCCCACAGCTCTGCCGTCAACACCAGCATCAGCAGGAACACCACCAGGATGAGGAGGGAGTGAACCTGCAGCTCCACCCCAGATGAGTCCTTAACGTGAGACACCAGCAGCAGCAGGAGAATGTAGATGCCCAGGACTGTGGAACCCCTTTCTAGGACCACGCACCTCTGCCGCAGCACGCTCTTGCTCACCACTTCTACACAACCGTCCAGGATGAGGAGGGTGAACATGGTGAGGTGCTGCCACTCCTTGGGGTACATAAACCTTGGTGGCATCCCTTTGGACATAATCTTTAGCCCATCTTTAACACAGCTGTTCTCGTACACTATCAAGAGGGAGCCAGACACTATCTTCAACCAGCCCGCTTGGGCTATTTGCCACAGCCTGGCCCACCTTCCCTTAGAAAGGTATGATGGATACAAAAGAGAGTCGTTGAATATCACAGCTCTGGAGACCATTATTGCCTGATACAGTCCGTAGAAGATCAGGAACAAGCCTGGACAAATATGACCAATAAAGTCTCCCATCGAGCTACTAATCTAACAAAATGCAAAACTCGGGTACACACGCTTCAAGCTCTGGGTTTTGGGAAAAACTGCCTTCCACTTAGTTTTTATCATCTCATTTCACCCACTGCTCCCCCACAGAGAGGAAACATTTCTTGAGACAAGCCTACACAATTGGCAGAAACATGACCCACTCTGGTGCACTGGGAACTGAGTGGGTTTTCAGGGGCTTCTCCGTAGCCCCTGAACAGCTCTGCCTCGTGCCTTGTTCCTGGCTCAAGTTTCCTTCCTCTCCCCCTGCCTGGTGCTCAGTGGAAAGGAAGTGGTGAGGTGGGTTACAGTGGTATCCGGAGAAAGCCTGTGCTCGCTTCAACATCCAAGTGTCTGCTAGTAATTCTCAGACCCAACTTCACTCCGTTTGAAGTGGATGCCTTTGTTCTTGGGCATAGACTTATAAACATTTAGATATGAGACCATATACTAGAATCCATCTGGCTTTTCTAGTCTTCTGTAGTAGACATACCTTGGAGACTGCTGAGAAAGACCCCCACTCCCCTTCCTCCACCCTCCTCCACCTCTCCCTGACTACCACCACCAAACCGTCACCATCCTTAGGGTCTGTAGACAAGCCTGCAGAAGTGCACTCTGAGTTTGAGGGGCTTGTGGTAGTGTACCTGTGGCAGCAAAACTAAGCTTGAATGATGTTTCCCAGAATTCCCTCCCCCCCATGGCTCCAAGCAAAGGTTGGCTACAGATGGGAGAGTCTGAAGACAGGCGTAGACATAAACAACCCAAGCATATTGAAAGAGTGTGGTGCCAGGCACCACTGCCACCTAAGCATCTTCTTTCCTGACAAGTTGTTTGCAGGGGTGGTGAGCAGGTGGACCTGTAGCTCCCCAGAGTCTCCTGCAGTTTGCCTGCCGCCGAGCGATGAGCGATGATGCGGTGAGAGGCAGGCCCTGGGCTGCAGCTGATCTTGACAGGTTTCGGGTTGACAGGTCCTCGCCCCTTTCTTCCTTACTGCCACTCCGTTGGTCTGAAAGTACCTCAGGCCTGCCACAGAGCAGGGCAGCAACAACCTTCCCTCGGTTTCACCGCCAGCTTCCGCAAATATGCAAAGTCTGCCTTTTAGGAAGACATCTGCTTCCTATATCATCCTGTATTCCTCTGCTTTTATGATCTCTCGCTAGTATGAGAAATCAAGGCCTAGTTCCTAAGATGTGGATAACGTTGACAGGAGGGAGCCCAGCAAGCTGGAATTAGCCATTGATAGTAAACAGGAAATAGTTCACCAGCTTCATTTCTGTCTGATACTGGTTAATGGCCAGTGAACACGGGCATAGGTTGTAGAGGACAAGCGCAGGAAATAGAAAGCATGTGCATAGTGCGCAAATGGTCCTGGATTGATTGCACAGGACACATGGAACAGGAGTATCCTAGGGAGAACAGGAGTCCTTCGAGAAAAGGAATTCATCGCAGATCATGAACCACAGGAACATCGACCGATTTGTTAATTACTTATTAATAATTTGTTTAATTTTATTTTGTGTGCATTGGTGTTTTGCCTGAAAGTATGTCCATGTGAAGGTGTTGGATCCCCTGGAACTGTTATAGACAGTTCTCAGCTGCCACATGGGTGCTGGGAATTGAACCTGGGCCCTCTAGCAGAGCAGCCAGTGCCCATAACCGCTGAGCCATCTCTCAGACCAGCCTGACATCAGTCTTTCGCATAATCATTTATCTCCATGACACCAGCATGTGCAGAGCAGAGGCTAGCGCGTCTGTGTGCCAACAGTGCCCAGGTGGAGAGGAAGGGCACCACTCCTGAGCCCTCTCTCCTTAACTTCCGGTGGAGTCATATCCTGATAAACTTATCACAGTGAACCTAACCTACAGAAATCAGGCTGGGGAGACAGTTCAGCTGACCAGGTGCTTGCCGCACAGCACGAGAACCCGAGTTCAACCCCAAGAACCCATGAAAAGCCCATGCATGGGGGCATGTGCACTAAGACTCTGGGAGCACAGACAGGCAGATCCCTGGGGCTTGATATCCAGTCAACCTATCCTCAGGCCAGTCAAAGACCCTGCCTCAAACAAACAAGATGGAGGAGGTGTGGTGGCGCACGCCTTTAATCCCAGCGCTCAGGAATAGAGACGGGTGGATCTCTGTGAGTTCGAGGCCAGTCTGGTCTACAAAGTGAGTCCAGGACAGCCAAGGCTACACAGAGAAACCCCGTCTTGAAAACAAAACACAACAAGATGGATGGTGCCTAAGAAGCAGCTCTCACCACGGCCTTCACATGTACCTGTGCACATGTAGCCAAATGTGCAGCTCACACACACACACACACACACACACACACGTACATGCACACTCACACGCACACACCACAGAACATTCACAGCCACAAAGTGCACTGTAGGTATCCTTGTTTGAACTGGTGAGTTCAAGGATCTGTCAGTCTACCCAGTGTTGGAAAAACAAACAAACAAAAAAATCCTAAAGCAAGCCATTCTAAGACAGGGCCTCTAATCGGCTCTTTCTCAAGGTGGCTTAATGCCAGAAAACTGGAACATCGCCCTCTGCCCTTAAAGATGGCAGTAATTCAGATTGCTTCTGGCTGCTGAGAACTTGGGTAGGCTGGGGATATGCGTGTGAAGACAAATTGGGAAAATAAAGCTTCATTCTGCCTTCTAGATGAACCTGCCTTACTTGAATTTAAAGTTGTTTAGTGTGCAGTCACTGTAGGGAAATCAGGGAACATCACAAGTCACCCATAGGGTAACTCATTTTTTCAGCTCCTCTCCTGGTTACAGGGAATTGCTTTTTCTCAATAAACTTTTCTTGCTTTCCTTTCAAAAATAAAATAAAAATCACCTGTAATCATACAACCTGGTTGTGACCATCGTCACCAATGAGAAGATGAGGAAGTGGGCACAAGCTAGTGGAAAATGCATTCGTATTATTTGTCTGGAAGTCAGAATTTGGATTCTACTATTAGCTCTCTTGAATGTCTGACAGGGTCTTACTATGTAGCTCTGGCTAGCCTGGAACTCAATAGACCAGGTTGGCCTTTAACTCACAGAGATCTGCCTGCCTAGTGCATTCCAAGTGCTGAGATGGAAGAGAAGGAGGCGCAGGAGGAGGTGGAGGAAGCAGAAGACTGTAGTTAATTTTCTACAAAGTGGAAAAGTACGGTCTAGATGCTACTTTGTAGACATGGGAGTTATTTTCTCCCTTTTGGTGAATTACCAAAATGCCAAGCATGGTAGAGCTGAATGCTCAGCAGGAGGCCATTCAAAGGGAAAATCAGTTGTGGAGTTAACCAGGGGAGGTGACTCCCTGATTCTTTTCAGTTCTTGGATTCACCCTGGAAGAAGCACAGAACTCATTATTATTTAACTCCTGGCCAGAGCCTGTGGGGCTAGGGGAGCCCAGCCTTGCCTCAAACTCCAAATATAACCAAGAGTGGCTTTGAACTTCTGGTACCTCTGGCTCCCCCCGGGTTGGGATTGAAGGCATGCACCACCATGCCAGGTTTCTTTGGTGGCTGGAGAGCAAACCCTGTACTTCATAGATGGTCAGCAAGCGCTTTACCGACTGAGCTATGAGCCTACACCTTAAGGTTGCCTTTCCTCTGCCACGGCTGTGATAACATGGGCGCGTCATCGGACCTTACCCTGTCCTGCACTCATCTCTCCAGCTGTGCCTAGCAGCTGTGAGCTGAGGCAGCAGCCCTGACCTCACAGCAAGGAGAGGCTGGAACCAGCACGTAGGCAGGGCGCATTGCCCTTCCAAGCTCCCGTCTGGGGCGATCAAATCCCCCATTTTGGCTCAACATTGAAGGACACATTCTGCTTATCAGCACACAAGCATCCTGCTCTCTGGACTTCAAAGACAGGACTTGCCCATCCAACCCAGACCTGCCCACAGCAGCCGAAGGAAGCCGTGTGTGGTGAATGATTAGCAGAACGTCCAGACGGCCCCACAATGTGGGAACACAGAGTACCTGAAAACTTGCTCAGCTGGGGGAAATCCAGCGTAACCACAGGAAGCTGAGCAGGTCTAGCATCGCCTCGTTGCTCCACGCTTAGACTCAACCCCGACCCAACTCTTCTACCGAAGGGTTTCCACTTCCCGAGAGTCCTTCAAGTGGCTGGTGCTATTTGTACTGCACCATGAGATTCCACAGTAAGCAAGAGGGGACTCAGGAAGTCCTGACTGCCGGAATCCTGCTGTGTGTATGAGGGCAAGTAAAGGACTGGGTGATACAGTCCTTACCCTCAGAGCTTACTTTTTGGCACAATACAGTTGTATATGTGTGCATATTTAACACCATCTAGACACCACAGAATTCAAATACTTTAATATTTAACTTTCTAAACACCACATTAAGCAAACATAAACTCTAGAATTAGTGGGATGTTATAATTGTTTCATTTTATTTTATTTTTTCTGAGACAGGGTTTTTCTGTGTAGCTTTGGCTGTTTTGAACTTACTTTGTAGACCAGGCTGGCCTTAAACTCGCAGTGATCTGCCTGCCTTTGCCTCCTGAATGCTGGGATTAAAGGCATGTGCCACCACGCCAGGCCAAAAAATTATTTTTATTCAATATATTTTGATCATTTTCCCTCTCCCCCAGTTTCTCCCAGATCCTCCCCACCTACCCAAGTCCATGTTCTCTCTCTCTCTTTCTCTTTCTCTCTTGCTCTCTCTCTCCTCTCCTTTTGTCCCTCAAAACAAACAAACAAACAAACAAACAAACAATCAAGCAAAAATCTGAGAAACCCAACTTTCCCTTTGTCAGCAGTTATCAATTGCAAATAGCTTCTTGGTTAGGGGTGGGACTTCCACATCTAACTCCCCATCTGGCTTAAGCACGTGGAGCCCCTGTGTATGCTGCCACAGCCTCTGTCAGTTCATATGTGCATCCGTTGTTGGGTCTGGAAGATGCCGTTTCCTTGGAATTATCCATCACCTCCAGCTTTACAGTCTTCCAGTCTCCTCTTTGCATATACC